TAAATTTATATAGAATAAGAAGAGATTTATAATTATAGTAGCAGGTAATTTAGTCTTTAAATGCTAGGTAAAAGCGTAAGGTATTAAGCTTAAATACTTACTATTATATACCTATAAGCTAAATAAAAGCGTTAAAAGAGCTAGCTAATAAATTATAATTAACTTAAATTTAATACTTAATAGTATAAAGCTTCTTATAAACTTATAATTAAAAAGCGTTTAAGCTATTACCTTTTTATACAATATAAGTTTAAATTAAACTTATAATTAAAAAAGCTTTTTTAAATACCTTAAATTATAATTTAAGACTAATACTTACTTACTTATAATAGAGTATATAATTAACTTAAGGCTTAATTAAAGTATAATATATACTTATAACTATTATATATATTTTGTGCAGGGAAAAACCACACACAATATAAAGGATCGTAAAAAACTGTTAAAATACCGGTCAAAATACTATGAATATAACAGCTACAAGGGCCAAGAAGGTTGAGGTTCTATTTTTCTAGGAAGGCTCTGAAAAGCTAGTTATATAATTGTGTGGCACGTGACATGTCACGTGACTAGAGGCCACGTTACTAGCTAAATTAAGCTGCGATATACGGTTAAATTCCTTGCTGCGATATGCGGCTAAATTCCTCCACACAATATTAATAATAGAACCTATTAAATAATAATTTACTTTTATAATTATTAAGTAACTTAATAGTAATAAATAAGTATAAATTACTTTTTACTTAATATTAATTATAAGTAATTATAAAATTCCTAGGAAATTAAGATTATTTAAGCTTAATATAGCTTATTATTAAAGAAAGGTAAGTTATGAAATATTAAACTTAAAGTTAAATTATTAACTTAAAGTTAAATTATTAACTTAAAGTTAAATTATTAACTTAAAGTTAAATTATTAACTTAAAGTTAAATTATTAACTTAAAGTTAAATTATTAACTTAAAGTTAAATTATTAACTTAAAGTTAAATTATTAACTTAAAGTTAAATTATTAACTTAAAGTTAAATTATTAACTTAAAGTTAAATTATTAACTTAAAGTTAAATTATTAACTTAAAGTTAAATTATTAACTTAAAGTTAAATTATTAACTTAAAGTTAAATTATTAACTTAAAGTTAAATTATTAACTTAAAGTTAAATTATTAACTTAAAGTTAAATTATTAACTTAAAGTTAAATTATTAACTTAAAGTTAAATTATTAACTTAAAGTTAAATTATTAACTTAAAGTTAAATTATTAACTTAAAGTTAAATTATTAACTTAAAGTTAAATTATTAACTTAAAGTTAAATTATTAACTTAAAGTTAAATTATTAACTTAAAGTTAAATTATTAACTTAAAGTTAAATTATTAACTTAAAGTTAAATTATTAACTTAAAGTTAAATTATTAACTTAAAGTTAAATTATTAACTTAAAGTTAAATTATTAACTTAAAGTTAAATTATTAACTTAAAGTTAAATTATTAACTTAAAGTTAAATTATTAACTTAAAGTTAAATTATTAACTTAAAGTTAAATTATTAACTTAAAGTTAAATTATTAACTTAAAGTTAAATTATTAACTTAAAGTTAAATTATTAACTTAAAGTTAAATTATTAACTTAAAGTTAAATTATTAACTTAAAGTTAAATTATTAACTTAAAGTTAAATTATTAACTTAAAGTTAAATTATTAACTTAAAGTTAAATTATTAACTTAAAGTTAAATTATTAACTTAAAGTTAAATTATTAACTTAAAGTTAAATTATTAACTTAAAGTTAAATTATTAACTTAAAGTTAAATTATTAACTTAAAGTTAAATTATTAACTTAAAGTTAAATTATTAACTTAAAGTTAAATTATTAACTTAAAGTTAAATTATTAACTTAAAGTTAAATTATTAACTTAAAGTTAAATTATTAACTTAAAGTTAAATTATTAACTTAAAGTTAAATTATTAACTTAAAGTTAAATTATTAACTTAAAGTTAAATTATTAACTTAAAGTTAAATTATTAACTTAAAGTTAAATTATTAACTTAAAGTTAAATTATTAACTTAAAGTTAAATTATTAACTTAAAGTTAAATTATTAACTTAAAGTTAAATTATTAACTTAAAGTTAAATTATTAACTTAAAGTTAAATTATTAACTTAAAGTTAAATTATTAACTTAAAGTTAAATTATTAACTTAAAGTTAAATTATTAACTTAAAGTTAAATTATTAACTTAAAGTTAAATTATTAACTTAAAGTTAAATTATTAACTTAAAGTTAAATTATTAACTTAAAGTTAAATTATTAACTTAAAGTTAAATTATTAACTTAAAGTTAAATTATTAACTTAAAGTTAAATTATTAACTTAAAGTTAAATTATTAACTTAAAGTTAAATTATTAACTTAAAGTTAAATTATTAACTTAAAGTTAAATTATTAACTTAAAGTTAAATTATTAACTTAAAGTTAAATTATTAACTTAAAGTTAAATTATTAACTTAAAGTTAAATTATTAACTTAAAGTTAAATTATTAACTTAAAGTTAAATTATTAACTTAAAGTTAAATTATTAACTTAAAGTTAAATTATTAACTTAAAGTTAAATTATTAACTTAAAGTTAAATTATTAACTTAAAGTTAAATTATTAACTTAAAGTTAAATTATTAACTTAAAGTTAAATTATTAACTTAAAGTTAAATTATTAACTTAAAGTTAAATTATTAACTTAAAGTTAAATTATTAACTTAAAGTTAAATTATTAACTTAAAGTTAAATTATTAACTTAAAGTTAAATTATTAACTTAAAGTTAAATTATTAACTTAAAGTTAAATTATTAACTTAAAGTTAAATTATTAACTTAAAGTTAAATTATTAACTTAAAGTTAAATTATTAACTTAAAGTTAAATTTTAAGTACTTATTTATCTCTCTATTATAGACTTATAATTATCCTAATTATTTATCTATCTATTAATCCCTAACTTATAGCAATTAATAAGTGATCCAACAATCACTTAGCTTATAGTAATTAATAGGTAATCCACTAATCACTTTATGATCACGTGACCTAGCACGTGACGTCTTGGTTCTCCCTTATTATAGCTTTACCTTCCCTAGTGCGGCCTAGTCCTTCTCGCGTTTAGTAACGTTTATAATATTATACCCCTCCCCTAT